CATATGTCGATCAAGATTTGTTTGTTGTCCAAAACATTTATCACAATGTGTACAACGAAATGGTCGTTCACGTTTATGAATATTTCGAATATGCCGTTGTAAATTGGATGATATTGAAAAACTTCGATTACAAAATTTGCAAACATATGGCTGTTCTCGTAAAAAAAAAAGAAAAAAAATAACGATTAGAATTTTCATAGACAACTATCCAAACTAAAGATTCATATTTCAATTGCTTAATAAACGGAAATGTTTTTAACTGTAGAAATTCATCATGCTGATTATCTAGAGCATCCCGCATAAAAAACTTGTATTCATCGAGTAATTATCGTATTTCAATAGTAAGAAAATTTCATATACTTATCTGTATGTGTTCTTAGATGACGAGTAAGATTAGCACTACGTGGAAATGTTTTTGAACAATATGAACAACAATATCGATCTCGACTTCGAATTGTCATTGTTGGTGTTGATAGAATATCATTTAAATGATTTTTTTTCTCTACTAATGATGTATTAGGTGGACTTGATGATGATGATATTGGTGTTAAAGGTCTATGATCATCGTAATCTTTAATTTGTTTTTTTGTTAATGATAATAAACGATGATGATGTTGTTGTTCTTCTTCTTCATCATCATCTTCATCTGTTTTAAATTTTTTTTCTTGTTTATTTCCAAATACATGTGAAATACGTTGTGAATTGAAATCAATTCGTTTATTTATTAATGAATAATCAATGGGTTGATCAATAGATGATTGTCTTGGACGTTTTAATGCTCGAGATAAATCAATAGGTTGTTCAACTTTTTTATTTATTAAAGTTGATGTCTTTATAAATGGAAGTATAGCAGTTAAATGAGGTGTTACCATTCCATTTCGTTCTTTACATGAACTTCTAAAAAACAAAATACTAAGAATAAGAAGATTATATTGATATATATTTACATACCGATGTTTATTCAAAGCAACATGACTTTGAAAAGTTTGTCCACAATCTTTACATTCAATTTGTGTTTTGGCATTTGCATGTGAACGTTTATGGCGACATAAATTTGAAAATTGTGTATAAGATTTAGTACAATACTAAAATATATAAAGAAAAAAATATAATTTTTTTTATGTAATTAAGAAATTGATCTGTAATTTTACTTCACATTTCCATGGTTTAATACTTGAATGAATATTTCGATGTTGTTTTAAACCTGATGATGTTTGAAAACTTTTTCCACAATCATTACATGTATATAGTCGATTTTCACATTCACTTGCTTCACTTGAATTGGATGTATTTTGATGATTATTTATAGGTTCGTACATTCTAAAATAGATACTCAAATATATTTCCTTCGTTCCGGAAGTTGTCGTCTTACAATGACGACGAGCATTCTGTTAAATTAAAGTTTGACTGATTAAATATGAATTAGGAAGAAAAGACACACATACATACACACATACACTTTTTTTTTTCTTCGTCTCTTCAGTATATTAAAATTCAAGAGAATAACATTATTGTTTTCACCTATATGCTTAAGGCATCATTCTTCTCGTTATACAATAATATTAACAACAAACCAATATTCTAATTAACAGTTTTCTTTTTCTAATAAGAATAACACTCTACACCCAACGGCTAATATGAATGAATCGTTTCTTACCTCTGTTGTTGGTTATCTTGTTCATTTTCATCAGGTTCCATTAATAAATCATTATTCATTATTGGTTCTTCTATTGCTAGAATATTCACAAAGAAAAGATAAGTATTTATAAATCTATATATTTGTTTCTTACTCTCTTCATCTTGATTTGTACATTTCATTATGATTCGTTTTGTATTTTGTTCTTCCTCTGTATTTTCATTTGTCAATTCGAGATTATTTGATTTATTAATAATCGTTGGTTGTTCTAAATGGATAAAATAAAATTTCACACATCACAAAACGATATCATTATCCATCAATTCGTACGAAATATATTTATATACATATATATACATTTATATATTATCTTTTCTACTATGCATGATTCAAAGAAATAAAAATGATAATGAGTGTATCCCATCCATTTGGTGCCCCGACTGCTACCTTATGACTTACTTGACATGCTTCCCTTGTTCTTATTCAAATGAAAAGACATGAAATTGTCGTTGAATGAATTTTATCTTTTCTTTTTTTTTCCTTCTTCTTCTTTGTCTCTATGTCTCTCGATGTTTCTTTCTCTCTCTCACCTGAATATGACTTGAGAAGAGAAGAGATGCCAATATATTTCTTTCGTTCTTCATCATACGATGATTCCACCTGAACGAATTCGTTGTTGAATCTTTTTTTTTCATTCGAACAAGCTTGAGGGGTAATTATATCTTTTTCTCTTTACTCAATTTCCAGACGATGATTATCCATGCTGTGAGCTTGTCACCTTACTCATAAGAGGGGGAGAGAGAGTTCGAGCGAACGAATATAGATAGATATCGTAAATATGACACTGCTTTCTCTCTCTCTCTCCTACTCTTTTTTTTATGATCGTGTGTAATCCTCAACTGAATCAACATACATAGAATGAAGATAATATTCAGACAACAAACGCGATGTAAAGAGAAAGGAAGAGATAAGTTTTCGATGTGCACATCTCGAATTTTTTTTTGTTAAATGCACACACCTACACAGGTCAATATTTGTCCATTTTTTTTTCTCTTCATAATCATCATCAGCATCATCATCATTATCCGAGACAGATAATAGGCTCTATTGAGTGAAGTATGTATATGAGATAAAAAAAACGATTGACAAAGAATCATATTACATGTTTCATGTACAAGATAATTTCATATTTCTTTTTTCTTTTTATTTCTTAATTCTATACTTTATTATTTAGACGGTGATATATATTGTGTTTGAAATTTTTGAAAAAAAAAACGAACATATATATGTTATTAAGATATAAGGAAATGTAAAAAATACGATGAGATGTATCACACATATTAATAGAAGATGTGTTGATGTTTGTTAATCGTGATTTTTATCTTTGATAAATGAGAGGATTAACATGATATGTACTTAATTTATTATCAAACAAGATTTGTTCCTATCAATTAACACATTAGGACTTACCATGATGAACAGGAGATGATGAAGTTAAAACACGTTTAGCTGCTCTCGGTTTTAGTCGCATCGATGTCTTTTGCTTCTGCTATTTTTTATGTATGTGTGCGTGTGTGTGTGTGTATGTATGTATGTATGTATGTATGTATGTTTCGTTTAAGTTGTCATCATATAAGGTAGTGATGTTGATGGCATTTTCTCTTCTCTTCTTCTGTTTACAGGTTGCTGCTGATCAATTTTGCTTTAAACTACCACTGCCATCTCCTTTCTCTCTCTTTATGTTCTGTTCTTCTTCGCTGGTGATGCGAAAACGAAAATCCCCATCGCGTCGTCGTGACCGAGGATGATTGTATGCTCGCTTGCGCTCTCTCTCATTCCCTCTCTCTCTCTCATTCTCGTTCTCGTTCCCAAGTATACCTGCCCGCCGTGCATGTATGTATGTGTGCACACGAATTTGAATGAATAGAAAAGAAGAAGGTAGTTCGTTTGCGTTACTCTCGCACATACACATTGATGATGGAAGCACTTGACAAACTTCTTTACTCAATTTTTCTTCTTCGCCATCGTCTTCTTTCGCATGCTGTGTTCGCTCGAATGCATCATATGTATTTATATTCGAAAGGAAAAAAATAGAGTTTGATTTAAATTTGATGTTTATACAGTGTGTTTTTTTGAAAGAAAAAAAGAAGTTTTTGTTTTGCAGATAGAATATAGCGGCATCAAATCGAAGAATAAAAGAAAAAGTCGCACCAAGTGTTGTGACAATAAGAAGTTCATATGAAATGGAAATGGAATATTAATTCGCTTGATTACTTTTGTACTCTGTCTCAGAGATGAATAAGATGCTTTCGGGCATGTATACTATGAAATCAAAATAATATAAGAATAAATAAAAATATATTAAAATTATTTCATAATATAAAACAAAAAAAGATAATGTAAAATTTAGTTAAATTTTTTTTCTCTTTCTCTTGTTATATCAAAAAGACAATCATTGGAATTTTTATTGAAAATGAGATACTACTCAAGTTGATTTATGATATTATTCTGACAATATCTACATCGATATTTAATGTTGAAATCGACCGGAAGGTACAGAGTGTACTTGTGAAAGTATAGCCGATTGAGTTTTCAACATTTTATCATTATAAAAGATGAATTGATGAAGAATTAAATCTGATTGGAATAATAAATATTCATAGCCAAATCCAAGATTTTCAATAAATATACAATATAAAGCTTTTATAAATATAATGATACAAATATAAAGGCATATAATATCGAAAGAAAGATCTTATTAAGTATTCAATGAACAATTTGAATATAATCATCTAATGGTTTTTACCAGAACAGACGAATAATTATAAAAATCTTTTTTTTCTAAAACCATAAAGATTAATGAACTAGTTAATTAATCGAAAAGATTCTTCATTAAATTTATTTATCTTTATTTCGGTTTCATTTTTTTATATTCTCAATATCTAAATTTGAATGACGATAAGCAATATTCTTTCTTATATATTCAAAAAATAACTATTAGAACAATTATCAATGCATGTGAATCTCAAGTATTAAACAGATCAAACACTTCATGAAAATCGATATATATATATACCAAACGATAATAAAATACTAAGAAGTAAATAATATTCCTTCTGAGTTATTTTAAGAAATTTTTATTTCCATATTCAAAATATTCTAAGTGATACAATTAAGAAATATATGTATATATGCTTATATTATCATATACAATAAATGAAATAGATGTTATTCATACAAGGAGAAATAAAAATCACTTGAGATAGAAATTTTAAAGCAAAAAGAGAAAATATAAATTATGAAATGATTATCTTTTTTTTTGTTTCTTATAAACGAATATGATCCAAATGTATATTTATCATAGAAAAAGAAAAGAAATATTTTTCATCTCTGAATGACAAATATTCGTGATTGATAGCTAAAGTAAAGCTTTTTCTTTTTATTTCTACCTTTTTAATTCTACTCTACATACACACATACGATATTATCATTATTCATACAAAAAAAGAAATATAAAATACACCCGAAAGCAGTACCGCCATCTCATACTATTACATACTCACTATTCTGTTACTCTTTTAGAATAGTAAGAAAAAAGAAGAGAAGAAAAAAAGGACATATATGTAAATTCTTTTTAACTAAAGTACACTTCTATA